GAGGAGGAAGACGACGAAGAGGAAGCGGTGCACGCAAGTAGGCGCTACCCGGGAGGTGGGGGCGCCCATGAAAGATTATCCAGCTGCCTGCGACAAGTCCAGTCACCGTGCCAATCCAGCATGCTCGGCGGCTCTCGGTCGAGAGTGCACTGGAGGCCGTGCTCTCGGTCCCGCCGTGGTTTTCTCGCGGTCCCTCCGTCATCTTCTCGCCGTACTGTCTACTTCATGCTCATCCTTCTCGCCGTCTTCTCCCCCGCCCCCCCCCTGCTTTGGCCCGCGAGATGTTTGACCCCTTCCGGGACCTCCTGGGCCCCCCCCCTCCCCCCGCTTCCCAAAACAGTTCAGGAGGCCGCCAAAAGCGATCAGAGCCACCTGACAGGGCCGAAGGCGCCCATATGTTGTGACGACAGCTCAAGAGGCCCCGAAGACGTTCCAAAAAGGCCCCGACATGCACCCCGAGATGGCCCCAGGATGCCAAAATTGTTCCACTCCTGGTCAACACCGTGCACTTTTAGCATATCCGCACTTTGGGTCTTCACAGCGTCCTGAACGGCCCAAGAGGCCCCACAGACAGATCGACCCGAGACGGTCCAAGAGGCTTCCAAGAGGGCCCCAGGACGGCCCAAATGAGACCCAAGACGGTCCAAGAAGCGCCCAGGACGGCCCAAGAGGGCCCCTAGTGAAGTCTAAGAGGGGGAATGCCAATTGACATTCGAGCCCTCCGCCACGAACGCGCCCCCGGGGCCGCAGCAGGCACCCGAGAGGCCCCCGAGGGCCCACAAAGAGGCCCCGAGAAGCTCCCGCAGGCCCAAGACAGACCACGAGAAGCTTCAAAACTCGCCCCACGAGGCGCCGGAGAAGCATGCCAAGATACCCCAAATTACAGGCATCCGAGAATCATCTGTCCAAAACTCAGGGACGGTAGCGATATGGCCGAAGGCCATAGATGAGCAAGCAATAGGTTTGGTGACGGACCCACCCCTGTGCAGACATGTGGAGTGCAGATCGCGGGTCTCTCTTCATACATTGCGCGCCACGGGGCAATGAGGAAGATGGTTGCTGCGGAGCCCGCGTGCAGGGGTGCGTTGAACTCCTTGTTGGCCACGATCCGCGTGAAGGATATGCCGACTAATTCGGTTACCCCCGAGGCATGTTCCGAAATGGACGGGGGGATGCCGCGCGAAACTGCCCATTGGTGCCATGGGGAGGGCCTCCTCCTGGGGCATGATTCGCGTCACAGGTGTGCCGACATGGGCGGGGCGGCGCTGTGCGAACCTTGTCTCTGGGATTTTAGGCTGTTCCCCTTGCGTGCGCGATCCGCGTGATGGGGTGTGCCGCAGCGGCGAGGTGGGGGGCGCAGTGCGAACCCTACCTCCGGGGCCCTAGGTGGAGATCCCTGTGGGCCATGATCCGCGTGAGAGGCGTGCCGACGCAGGCGGGAGGGCGGGATGCGAAGCCTGTCTCTGGGGCCGTTCGTGGAACTCCTTGCGGGCAGCGATTTGTCTGAGAGGAGCTCGAATTGAGCGGGGCGGCGCTATGAAGCTTCCCTACGGTGCCGCAAATGCAGTTACTTGCGAGGCACGGTCCGCGTGAACGGCGTGCCTCTATGCGAACCTTGCCTCTGGGAGCGAAGGTGGAGCTCCCCGCGGGGCGCGATCCCTGTGAAAAAGTGCGCCGACATGGGCGCGGGGGCGCTGCGCCACGTCCGTCTTTAAGGCCGCAAGAGACACTTCCTGAGTGGCGCGATCCGCGTGACAATCTACGCCCTCCGGCGCTGAACACTTCGTAGACTACAACTGGAGCATGTTAGAACCTAAGCGCGCGAAGCGCGCGCGTGGTTCGATCTAGTGGCAGTCTAATCGTTTACGCATAATGGGGCCATCTGGCGTGCTTATGAGTATTTCTTATGTTGAGTTCCCATGTTAGGCGCTGGGCCGGAGGTGCTCAGAATCACCAGGCTGTTGTTCACGAGCGCAGGCTGCATTGGCGCAGTGGTGGGCCTCGTGGGCAGCAGCCTCATTGGAGACCGCAGCGCCAACCATGATGGAGCGCGCAGCGGAAATTTCACCAGACACTGTGCCTTGTCTTCCCTCAGCAATTTCAGCAGCCCTTGCTTTCGCTGGCCTCGCGCCCCGGAGCAAGAATTGCCACAGAGATTCCACTTCCCCAATCGCTGCTGCGATTCCGCGATGTTCCGCCTGTCATGCCTTCGGATGCGCGCAGCGGCGGCGGCTGCCCCTGGCTTGGCGGCCTTCCACAGCAGGGGTGATGGGCAGCGCGCGCCTGTGCATTGCACGGGTGATGCGCCTCAGTTTCGGTCTGAGATGCGCGCGTCTTGGGACGCAGTCGACGACGATTTCCAGATCCGAGACAGATTCGGGAGCGCTGCTGCCGATGTCATCATGCGACATGCAGCGCGCGCTTCCCATCACGAGTTCCCATTCGGCGTGACGCTCATGGCCCAGCTGATGGCGTGCTCCAACGGCGCTCGCACGCAGATCTTCCCCGGCCCATTGAGCCCGCTCGCGCTGCCGATCTTCAACATGAACTACCCCCAGACGCGCAAGAGCTCCGGCTTCAGCACGGGCAACAAGGTCGCCAGCGCCATGGATGAGGCGGCGTTGGAGGAGGCAAAACGGATGGTTGCGACTGCCCTTGACGTGGCGACCACTGACATCCCTCCCGTTCGCGTCAACTCGAACACTCTCACCACTTTCACCGAGGTTGCGTTTTTCCAGCGGTGCGGCGGGGATTGGGACCAAATTGTGGCTAACCCTTCGCACGACGCCCCGGGCCGATGCAAATGCCACCAGCTGATAAACATGGATGAGATCTACAAGTACCTGAAGATGGTCGGCTGCGTGTCCTCTGGCGCGAGTGGAGAAGTCGGGCGCCGCGGCCGGGTCCGTCACTGATGCCGCGAGCGAGGTGAACAAATTGTTCCAGGCCGGAACTGCGTCACTGGCGACCAAGACAGCTGGGACGTCTGGCCAGGGGGGCGCCCCAACCATATCTCTGGGCGTGACGGGCAACGGCCACCCGGCTATCATGATTCCCATGCTGCGGGGAGGGTACGGCTCAGACATTGCCGCGCGCTGCTACCGCCACCTCATCGCGACGGGGGCCCCGGTCGAGCCGCACCAAATGTTGCCGCGGAGTTTGCTGTTGCCCGCGCACGTGAAGAGGTGGGTGTGGCCGCAACTCCTCGACGCGATGGTCGAACCGCTTGAGCTGCCCGACGGCGTCACGAAGATGGACGTTGCCCAGCGCGCGCTGCAGCCCGTCCGCTCTGGCCCCGCCGACGCTGAGGACTCCAATGACGAGGGAGAAGACGACGGCGCCTTCGCGCCCAACGCAGGCGGCTACCGCATCACGCTCGCGGACGGCACGGCAACTCGCCTCCGCTTTAAGAAGCAGACGCCTCTCGGCCCCGTGTGGGTACCCGAGATCCGCACAGCGAACCGCGACATCCCCATCCCAGCTGGCCAAGAGTTGCAATCGCTGGCCAAGCGCGTCCTCGAGTACTTCAGGGAGCCGCACGTGGAGGTCCCCTGGAAGCCGGCTGCCCACTTGACGTTCAAGGAGTTCCAGGCCGTCTTCGATGCGCAGGCCGCCAAAGCGCGGGGCAGCGACGCTGCCGTCGCGGCGGGGGAGGCGGCCCAGCTCGGGGCCGCCCCGTGGCACTTGGGGATGTTGTCGGTTGCCCTGCCCATCCTCGAGATTGCCGTCAAGGTTGACGACGCGCCCGCCGCTGCCGGCGGCGCCGTCGATGCGCTGCTGCCGCAGGCCCCGGCCCAGAGGCACGCGGAGGTCAGCCACTGCGTTCGCGCGTATGACCCCCCCCCCCAGGCTTTTCCATCGCCTGCGCGGCATCTGGGAAGGAGATTCGCCGCAGGATCGCGTTGCGGCGTCTGCGCAGGCGGCCGCGCGGGGCCTGGCCACCCGCCGCGCCGCCGCGGCCGGCGTCCCCGGCATGGACACGGCCGCTTTCGCACCCTTCGCGGCGACGCCAGCCGCGATGCTGGACCCACAGACGCCGGCGGGCCCCCCCCCGACGGGTCTCTCTCTGCCGGGAGAAAGCGCCGCGCCCGCGACGGCCGCCGCCGCGCCGCCCGCCGGCGCTGGCCCCGCGCGGGGCGGGAGCCCGGCCGATGCGCCCTTAGCTCCCCACCGACGAGGGCGTGCCTGGCGTGGACACGGGCTACGGCGAGCACGGAGGGTCTGTTCAGCGCTCAGACATCGGGACCGTCGTGATCAAGGACCGGGACATGATGCGCAGGACGCTGCTCAGGGGGGAGAGCCCAGCCTTTGGCCGCGAAGTTTGCGACGCCATCAAGGTGACCGACCCGGCGCCGCCGGCGCGGGGCGAGGACGGCAGGGCACTCCAACCCCGATCCCTACTCTGGCACAGCCCTAACTCTGGCACCATATTCTTACCCCCTAACCTCAGTGCGACCGTATCCTTTCAACCGAACCCTAGCATCCCAGCCCGAACGCCATGCTTTTAACCCTGCCACCCCAACCTTTGCCATGCCATCATAAGAGCATCTACAGACCTGAACGCCCTTGCCCTCGAACCTCCCGACCCCTATCCTGGCACCCTGGCCCCGACATCCTTTACCCTAACACCCTTGCCCTAGCCTTACCACCGTAAACCGACCACCCTGACCGTAACGCCATAATCTTACCGCATCAACTTTACACCCTAACTGCGACGCCATAGCCATACCTCTTTACCCTGGCTCCCTAACACTAGCCCTAACGCCTCATGCATAACCCTATCACCACCCTGTGGATTGTAAAACCCAAACCCCAGCCCCGCGTCTGCACTGCACTGCCCACTAATCCTGACCCCGAAGCTTAACCCTGACACTCTAACCCTGACGCCTTGACTTGCCCAATGGGAGATGGGCGGGATGAGGGTGGCACCTGAGGAAGGGGCGGAGGAGGATGGGCACGTGGGCGGGGGAGGGGCCAGCCGCGACCCTTGCGCCCGTGAGGAGATGAGCACCCTGGCGGCCTCTGCGAAGATTGCGGGCAAGAAGATCAGCGACGAGAGGACGACGCGGGCGAACGTGGCAATCAACGACGCCAACACGACCAAGGCCGAGGCGTGCTTGCTGGCGGTCTTCACCAGCAAGAAAAACCTCGACGAGACTCGCGCCTGCGTGCAGGCGGAGATCAGGGAGCTGCGGGCCGCCACAGGCAGGAAGGAGAAGAAGCTGTTGCACCCAGCGCTCCTGGACCGAGTGACGCGGGCGCTCGCCAAGCAGCAGGCCGCGAGCTAGGCCCATTCTGAGGGCCGCCGAAATGCCACGCCCGCTCCAGGTTCGATTGGTTCCATGTTTATGCTTGATCCCAGCGTTCGGGGTGCCCTCCCAGGTGCCCAGCCTTGGAAAACGGCGAATGCCGTTTTTGCGCCTGGGGCGTGCGTGGCACATCGGCTGTGGGGCGCCAGTCTTTCGACTGGATGGTTTACCGCCTGCGCCGCGCAGGCCGAGTGCATCGCTGCCGAAGGGAGAAAACAGGACAACACTAGCGGAAGATACACCGTGTTTGGCGGCCATAGCGTAGGGGGGTGCCCTGTTCCGATTATCCTCGACGCTTCGCGCCCCCCCCTCCAGCCCATCCAGAAATCATGCCCAGCGGAGTTGTATGGGGGAGGGGGTGGGCGGGTGGGTCAGGCCGCGTCGAAAAGTAGGAAATGCACGACAACAGAAACGCCTCCCTACATTCCACCAACGCGCCCGTCGTCCGACGAGGGTCTAAGAGGTGGGCTCCCGACGGGCATCGGGGGAGTCATTGGGGCGGGGGTGGAGGGGCGGGGGGAGGGCGATAAAGGCCGAGGAAGAAAGCGCACGCAGTGGGGTGAGAGGAACCCGCCCTCCATCTACACCCTCGTTCCACTCCCCCCTGTCTCTCCTTTATGCCTCGGCCCTCCTCGCCCGCCCCGTCTGGGCCGAATGGCACGAGATGCCCGATGTGGTTCATCGGCGAGTCGCCAGTGCGATGCGCTGGTATGAATGCCGACCTTTTTTATTCTTGGCGCCACGGGCGTTCTCCTCAAGGGCCTCCAGCGCCGCATCGGAGTCGCGTTCCTTCAACTCCAGGTGCGCGTCCTTGACGGCCCGCATGATACCGTCGGCCTCCGCCAGCACTTGAGACCCTTTCTGCGCCACGGCGTTGGGGTGCTGGGCGGCGTCGCCGCAGTCTTTGAGGGCTTTGCGCAACTTGTTGGCGTGGCGTTCCAGCTTGTTCGTGTCGGCCATCCCCTCCTCAGCCCTGGCAATAGTAGACGCGCAATCGGTGTTGTGCGTGCCCTTGAAGTCGCCCAGCTCGATGCTGAAGGAACGCAGGACGGTTGCCACGTTCGAAATAGCCTTGAAAAGCTGTCCTTCCTGCGGTGGGAGGGTGCCCGCCAAAGAGTCGATGACCGAGATGATCTCCGCGTGCTTGGGGCTCCGCTCAATGATCATGTCGTTGATGAGCTTGCCGATGACTGCGGTCACGGAGCCCTTGATCTCCACGGGAAGTTCAATCCCCTCGAGGCTGACGGTCCCGTCTTTCATGCCTGTGATGCGCATGTCCAGGGGCGCGTCGTCCTCGATGGCGAAGTTGACGCCGTCCGCGACTGCAGCTTGGAATGTCACGATGTGCTCCTTGAAATTCCCGAGCCTCTTGGTCGTGGGCAGCTTCCCCAGCATGATGCCGTTATCCTCCGCGGCGTTGTGCAGGTCCTCGTCATGAGGCAAGGCGTCACAGGTAGAGTGGGGCATCTTCGAGAGCAGCGCCATGCTAGCCTCAAGGTCGGTGTCCTGGAAACCTGCGTCGCCGTGCGTGGCGCGGAAGCTGCTCCAACCCTTCAGCGTGACGTCCTTGAGCAGATTCTGAATCGGTGACGAAGCCGTCGGGCAAGCCTCTGAGCTTGCACCAGCTGGTCGAAACGTTGATCACCTGCGCCGCGCAAATCACCACATCCTCTGCATCCCAGTCGACCGCGTTGAGCTCGGCCATGTACTCATCCTTGTGGTTGCCGCGCTCCGTTATCGGGACGATGTAGTCCGAGAAACCGGAGATGCGCTCGGACCAGTAGGAGCTGGCGCGCAGCAGCAGCGCGCCGACAACCACGCAAGGGGACCCGTCTGCGCTGTCCTTCTTCGACTCCAGCGACACGACGTCGTCCTGAGGATGGACACGGGTACAAACGGCGGAATGCGTAACGGTTGATGTTCGGATGTTCGGGCCGATTGTCGGTCGGTCGTTTGTTCCACTTAGCATTTAGGCTAAGTATTGGGTGCGGGGGTGGGTTAGTGGGGCGCGGTTGAAGCAAAACCGCCAGAAAAAAAAACAAAGAATGGCAAAATGAACGATTACCCATCTGGTGAAGCTTAATTTCACTATCACGTTCCCTGCACGCGTAGCCGTCCACAATATCGGACAACGCCACGAGCGAACGCCAACAGGTCATCCAATCGTAGTATGCCGCCGTGGCATCCGCGTCCATCTCGACGACGTCGACGGCATCCGAGTCCTCATCGAACTGGCTGAGGCATAGAAGGGAGAATTCCCGAACCTGCATCTTGGCATCCTCTCCCTTTTCGATGAGGCCCCCCAGGAGCTGGCCAATGATGACGTCCTGGAAGATGTTGATCTTCTCGTGCATGCTGACGCTGAGGGAGCCGAGCGTGACCCTGCGCGGGTGGAAGTCCCCCTTCGCCCGCGGGCTGCTGCACTTGATTCCCGCTGCTAGGTCGCCGACCGAACAGATGATAGCCATGCGCCTGGCGCACCGTGCCTTCTGGCATTCGGTCGGGAAGGCCGCCGCAGGCATGTGCTTCAAAACGACTGTCACGTCAGCCTTCAGATCGTCGTCCTGAGCCGTGCCCTGGATGTGCTGGGGCTGCAAGTTCGTGGCGCACGTGAGTGCCTTGACGTAGTTAGCGCAGGACTGCGCCGCCCTCTGACCGACGTTCTTGTGCTGCCCCTTTCCCTTCTGCATCCTCTCCACTGCCTTCCGGACGCCAGACAACGTCCTGCCGTCGAAGGTGCCCGCCATCACCTTCGCAATGTCCAGCTGCGCCTTGAAAGCTGCCGCGAAGTCCTGACCTGGCGGGCCAGCGGAAGCAACGACGGCGCGGAGGGAGGGGGGGGGGGGAGGGGCGGGGGAGGGGGGAGGGAGGGAGTGGGGAGAGGGGGGGGGGGCAAGGGAGAGGTGGGGAGGATGGCGGAGAGAGGGAGGGAGTGGGAGGGAGGAGGCGGGACGGCGGATGGAAGGGGAGCAGGGGGGGGGGGGAGTTGAGATTATTATGTCTAGGACCTGTTAGGCATGTTGTCTCATAAGCCAGAAACAGCACCGTACTGTAATGTATTGGCTCAAGTCAAAGCAGTAAAAGATTCTCATCTTTATTGCCATTAGTTCATATAGCTTTCGCTTAACGAACTTAACATTTCCAGTTCAGGATTTTCATCAGAATCTGGAGTTTGGTAGCGGAGCCAGTCGGCTCCCTGCCTTCTGGCTTTCTCTCTGCCGCAGGACCCTCGTCTACGGCATCATCAACACCTACGAGATTTACATCACCTGGTGTTCAGATATTGGAGTTTATTTCAGTATACCAAGATATACATTACCAGACACAGAAGTTGGATCAGATACAGTCTATTTTACTTGAAGTTCGGTTGGAAAGATGTTGGCATCACCACAGACTACCCCACTCTCTCTCAAGCAGTATTCTAAGGATATACCGCCAGGCTGGCGACCACGAGCATATCCAATCCGTGAGTATCGTGAAGCATTGGAGATATGGAGTCGTCTCACGCGTTTGGAGCAAGACCAACTTGGTGCAGCAGTTATGAGCAGACTCGAAGGCCCGGCACTACGAGCAGCTCAAGATTTACGTGTGAATCGCCTTGATCAAGCAGGCAACGTTGTGAATTATCGCGGCATCGAGGCGGTCAGTTTACCGAGAGTTCCAGCAGTATTGGACGGACAAGGCAACGAACTCGCTCCCCTACAGCACAGTGGAATCAAGATTCTGAACGACAGATTATTCGAGATGTACGGATTGGACGATCAAGACTTGGCCTGGACCTCGCTGGATCGATTCTTCACCTTGCGTCAAGGACCGAATCAAGACTTCATCTCATACCTGTTTGAATGGGATCACTTATATGAAGAAGCTGAGCGATACGGAGGCTTACAGATGGGCGAATCAGCCAAGGCTTGGCTTTTCTGGTCACGGACTACGTTTGCTGACAAAGCGCTCGCAGATCTACGCTTGAAGGTCAATGGTGATCTCAACAGGTGGCGCGAGATGGTTCAGTTGCAGCTAAAAGTGAGCAGGAACGAGATGGCGGCCAATGAGCAGCACGTCGGATACAAGAACTACTGGGAAGATTCAGACCCTTGGATGAGAGAGTACGAATATGATTATGATAACTACTACGAGGATGATGATGAGTACTACGACGAGTGGTACGACGAGGAGTACGATGATGATGATGACTGGTATGACGACAATGGAGATCAAGATGGATACGGAGGCGCAGCAGCAGCAGGCGGCACGTCATCATCACCTCTTCCAACCACATCGTCACCGGACGAGGACTACTGGCAGAACGCACGCGGAAAAGGATCTCACGGCAAAGGTGAGGGCAAGGACGACAAAACCGGAGGCGGCAAGAACGGCAAGAAAGGAGGCAAGAAACGACAAGGATATCAGTGTACCCTATGTGGCTCACGATGGCACAATTCGGACACCTGCCCTCTCAAGGATGATCAGAAAGAGGACAACGCGTATCCGACCGACGAGCAGTACGATGAGGAGTATTACGGACAAGGACGCGGCTATCGCAAAGGAAATCGCAAGGGCAAAAGGCGTGGCAACGGCAAAGGATATGATCGAGATCGGCACCGAGGTTATCAAGACAATCGAGGATCTCACGACCAGCAGCGACGCGATGTTCCACGTTTCGGCAGAAGCGACTTTCAGCAGCGACAGCAAAAAGGCAAAGGACGTGGCAAGAAAGGTTACAGATCGAAAGGAAAAGGCTACGACCAACGACGCCAGTTCTATCAAGACACTGATCGCGGAGATGAGACATACGGAAGCTACGCGACCTTGCCGGCCATTCATGAAAATGAAGAACCAGACGAACAGGCAGCAGCAGCAGATGATGTATCCACGTATGAGCAGGACAGGGGCATCATGACACGGACCCCTTTATCTGCAGGAGCGTGCCAGTTCGTACCTACCTCGACGGCGGCAGAGAAGACACCGACACGGAAAGG